TTGTTCTTATTGACCTCTGAGATAACAATTCACTGCTGGCATAAGCCAGTGTAGGCAGGCTCACCACAGGAGGGTCCTCCAGGAGATGAGGCCTTGGCATCTTCACCTCAACAGAAACTGAAGATAAGTAGAGAAAATGACCAGCGATTAAGACCATCTGTAGGGACGACTTAGACTGAGTTAGGCCAATATTCCTTTTCTAGACATAGAACAAAGGGCAAGTTGTTCTTCCTCTAAATGGCACACAAAGCCTAAGAAATCAGAAGCAACTAATCTTGCATGCCCCTGATTCAGCTGGAGAGAGCAAAATCCAGTTTTAACTTGCATCTGGGATTAGGGGGAACTCAGGTGTAATCCACCTGAGGATCCCAGTGCACCCAGGAAAATGTGGGTCTCCACATGTTGACTTTTAGAAGTTGAGGTAACAGGTGATCTTAGCCATTATTTAAAACAGCCAGGTATACATAGATGCCCAAACATAAACAAAACACCTAACCTTCCAAACTGCATTGCTTAAAGCCATTTCCACTTTAAAACTCAAGTGCTTAATCAATATTTGCACAAAAACAATCAGTCTTCTTTAACTTTAAAACACTCAGGATCAACAAATTTAGTCTAACAAACAAAAAGTAAAAAATTCGTTATATTTCCTGGGGCAATGTGGACATTCAAGTCACCAAAGGACACCATAATAAGGATCCAACAAGGACACACCATGATGAGGGAGACTTGATTTGCAAGCAGAGGAGGTTGTGGCCTCTGAACTCATTCAGTCACCACTGGAGAGAACACACGTACCTTCTTCCTTTTGAAACCCCACACCATTTTACCTGAGCCTTTCTTATTACATTCTAGCTCATATAAAATATGCAAGATTCTAACTTAGGTAGAATTTTTATGTTATATGTACCATCTCTTCAAGATTAAGTTTACTGGTGGTAAAATGCACATCTGAGTCACTTCTTCTTACCTGGAGTTTAAAAGGGTATGATTAGAGAAAACATAATAAATGTTCATCATTCATTGAATAAGTTTCAAAAATATTGACAAATCTCAATGTATAGAAGTCCCTGACAACTAAAGGCAAAAAGATGATCCAAATTGCTGAATTAAAGATATTTTAGAATGCTGAGGCAAGAAGATCACAAGTTCAAGTAGCCTCAGCAACTTAGTGAGACCCTGTCTCTAAGGGGGTGGGGGAATATATATGAATATATGACTGAGGATGTGACCTAATGGTTAATTTGCTCCTGGGTTCAATCCCCAGTACCAAAAAAAAAAAAAAGATATTTTTAGAATTTCATATATTTTTGAAATGTTAAATATACAATGCATGTTTTTCTTTAAACTCTATATTAAATGCCACAGGAATTTAGAAAAGAAAACATAATCAGAAAATTAAACAAGGACAGAAATTGACTTCTATACAACAATAAACTGCCTCTCTTCCCCCAAATACATTCACACACAAATTTACACAGGGAATGTAAAAACGAGTTAACAAATATTGGTCAAAACAAAACAACTAATCTGCTCAAACATGAAAAGTGGTAAATTCGAAGCTTTTAAAAAAAATAAATAAAGAGCATTTGTGAGTGCTGCTTGTGGATGTGGATACAGTCAGCCAAGCATTCTTTAGAAGCCAAGCTCATTACCACCAAGCAAGCTACCTGAATAGGAATCTCAGTCAAGTGTTCCCCAATGCATCTGTTCCTTCAGGAGTTATAAGACCCAGAAGAACTGACTAATAAAAACCCTTTCTATCCCCCAAGTTTCTAAACAATGGCTAGTTACAACTATTCCAAAATCAAGACTTAACACCAACCTCATGTTGAGAGTAATATGCTTTGTTTACATTGCATAAAGAAGAACCATGAGCTAAAGGACAGCTAATATATAGCACAGGTAGGAAAAGAGAAATGTCATAACTGCAATGCCAGGTTAGGAAGGTTTCAAAGTAACACCTGTGATGGATTAGACTGTGACCTCAAAAAAAAAAAAAAAAGACGACGACAGGTTAAAACCCTACGCTCTACTGTCTCAGAATGTAACCTTACTTGAAAATATGTCTTTATAGCGATATGGAGTTAAAATGAGGTCATGAGGAAGGACCCTAATCCGATATGACTGTGTCCCGATCAAAGGGGGAAATCTGAACACACATACACACACGTGCACACACACACACACACACGCACACACACTGAGACTACCATGTGAAAATGAAGGCAGAGATCAGGATAACTCATGTCCTACTCAAGAATGCCAAAACTGCCAGCATACCACCAGACACTGAGAGAGAGGCATGAAACAGATTCTCCCCCAGAGCCACAGAAGGAATCAACTCTGCCCACACCTTGCACTTCTAGATTCCATAACTGTGAGACAATAAATTACTCATGTTTAAGCCACCCCATTTGTGGTTGTTAATAGCAAACGTAGCAAACTAATGCAATGAAGTTTATGGTTAAATCCAAACATGATACATATAAAAAATATGTGTGTATGTGTATAGGGGTGTGTGTGTGTGTGCGTGTGTGTGTATACATAAAACACTTTATTATATGTGAATATATATGTGTATGTATATGTGTGTGTGTGTGTGTATCTAAAACTAAAAAAACTCACAGGAATCTACAAATACCAGGCAGCTTTACCATAAGAAAATGAAAGTTGCTCTTAGGGAAGAGGCTAAAGATAGCATTTAAAGATGGAGGCAGGGATGCAGACAATTATGGACAGTAGTACAACAAGGTCCCAATATTTAGCTAGCTCTTTAAGTTATGAAGCACCTCAGAGACACATCAACTGGGCTCTCAATTCTTGCTACATAACACTTACACAGTTGGTATTCTTTTGACTTTGCTACCTTAAAACAGTGAAACCCAGGCAGCCTGTCATCTCTCAAAACAGGTGAGTAGGCAATGGTTTTCATCTTCAACTGGAGGAAATTAAACACTACATGTGACCAGCAGGCTTTAAACTTAGAAAAATTCTGACAAGATAAATTTAGACCTGCTGGAGTAAAAACAATCAACGGTCCACAACCATCATGCTCAAATACAGATACTTTTAAGTCTTTTTTTTTTTAATTCAGGCATAATAAATTGAAAATTTTCATTTGACTGTAAGATTCTGAGATAAATGTTCAAGACTGAATATTTATTCAATAGCATTACTAACTTATATTTGCAGATCAGCAGAACACATTGTTTGTGAACAGGTAGTTTCAAGCACCTGGTTTGTTTCCTTATAATGAAATAGGGTGTTTGCTTCTATTTGAGTCACCATTAAAACAAGTCAGAGCATATGTGAGAAACATCTGGAAAACTCAACATGGACTGTATCTCTCCAAGTCCTTTACAATGTAAAAGCAGTAATAGTGTATAATGGGTGCAAGGGATGACTTCAAGCCAGATAAGCACAATGTAAATCCACTGTGTGAAAATGGGCACATGGCTAAACCTATTTGTGCACCACAATTCCTGACTGGTTAAGTACAGACAACAGTAATAGGGCATATCATAGCATTATGATGAGTAGATAAGGCAAAATGATATACTATATTTTATACAAAATTATTGAGAAATTAAGGAGAGCTAGTATCACGTTATTAATTTGAATGTGCAAGAAATTTATGAAGTACTATGTCTGTTAAAATTAGCTCAACCATTCAGATCATTATTTTGATGTTCAATAATTCTCAAGAAACTCAGTTAAGTCATGAATAATGCTCCAGGTTTGGTTTTGTTTACTATTTCCCATCATATTAACTTTTCATTCAAATAAAAAAACAACAGACATTTTTAAAAACGTTTTTATAGCTCACAAAATTAATGTTACTTCTTTTTAACCTGACTGCATTTTTGTATTCCTTTACCTTCATATCTTCTTTTAGAAGGAATACTTCTTCATTTTCTTAACATAGAAACCATGAACAAAAACATAAAATTATACTCCATAAAAGCCAGATTACATAAATTATCACATAGTCAAAATTTCCAATTATGTTTTTGGAATGATCATTCAGAGAATTTTCTAATACCTTTTAAAAAAATGTAATGTTAAATAGAAGGTCTTATTTCTGTTTTCTTTTTTCCTTTTTCATTACTGGGAATAGAACTCAGGCTTCTCAAATGCTAGTGAAATACTCTACCACAGAGCTTGACCTGAGCCCTAGAAACTCTTATTTTTCCTATAAAAAATTAAAAAAAGAATATAGGGATGATTTACAAAATTACTTTATAGCATCATCTGGTAAAATTATTAAGGTAGAACAAGGTTTACTTCTCCTGAGGCTATATAGAAAAAGGCATCAAATTTTCCACAAGCTACATGTCACTAAATACAGTAACTTTCTGCCCTCAATCAATAAGGGAGAGGGAATTGTCCATCAGAAACATTTGGTACAGCTTTATAAGAATCCAATTCTGTGCCCTGACCCCAGGATCCCAATGGGGAGAGAAAGGACACAGAGGAAAGAGTTGCTTCTCTATGGGGAAATATATTCAGCACAGTGCCAAAGCAGGCAGGTGGAAAGAAAGAAAAAAAAAAAGTATGCAGGGTGGTTTTTCGTTTTTGTTTTTGTTTTTTTGAATAGGAGACTTCTGAAAAATGGAGTAAAAGCTCACTTTAAAACAAGGTCAAGGATGGTATTACATGTGATTCTTTCAGATAATTATTTCTATTCTTAACATGAAACCTACATGAGAAATTAATCACATAATCCATCTGGAAATGAATTCTGATTAGAGGGTACCAACTCTGCTGAGGGAAAAGAAAACAAAGTTGGAGGAAGGGTTGATACAGAAAGTTCAACTGGGCAAGTCTGCAAACCTGTTTTCTAGCAGGGAAAGCAAATTCCACTGCCTTAAAAAAATAACCCTGACAGGAGATAATTTTATTGTATATTAAGTGGGAATTATTTAATGTACTGCTATTTAATATTAAGATAGCAGAATCATTTTACATATAAAATATTCAAAAATCATTGAACTTACTTGCTTTTCCCTTTGTATACTGTAGCATAAGATCCTTCTCCTAGTTTTTCCAGTTTTTCATATGAGTCAGCTTTTCCAAATTTGGGACTTGTTGGCTAAAAGTGAAGCAGAGGGTAAACAAAACAGATTTTATCAAATTAATTAAAAATAAGTATTCTGATTTCACTGAGAAGATATATTCTTTGTCACTTGTCAAAAAAACTTTTTTCTGATAAAAGAGTATGAATGTGTGTAGAATTAAATTTTCTTATAATTTATAATATAATAAATCTTATAAATTATAATATAATTTTCTTATAATCTAACAAAGGAATCATTGTAAATATTTTGATATCTCTTCTTGTGCTGATAATTGTCTTTTACAGAGATGGAATTAATATACTTACTCTTTTATACTTGCTTTTTTTTACTTAATATATTATAAACATTTTACATGTTGTTACATAATCTTCTAAATTAGGGACTGACAAACTGTGAACCAGGGTCAAATCTAGCCCACCACTTGTTTTTGTATATTCTGAGAGTTTAGAATAGTTTTTATCTTTTTTAATAGTGGAGATAGATAGTTAAAAGGAGGAATAAAAATTTATGATATGTGAAAATTAAATAAAAATTCAAGTTTTAGCATCCATAAAGCTTTATTAGAATGGTCATGCTCATCATTTACATATTATCTGTTACTTTCTAGCCACAACAGAGCTGTAGTTATAACAGAGATCATACAACTGAGGATGCTGAAATAAATATTTACTATCTGACTCTTGTAAATCATGACTATATAATATTCAGTCTTACAAAGATACTCTTTAACACCTTTTAGTAATAATACAAATAGATAATCAAAGATTTATCATTCAGATATTGCTAATATACAAAATGGAACTCCCTTATGAACTCATCCTTACAGTTTAATTTCAACAAAATTCCTTCTCCTTTAGAAAGATTACCACCCATAAAAATTAAAAGACTGCCAGAAGAGTGATCTTTTCATTCTGGCTGTGCGAACACACCTATTTTAACCATTTACCTCGTATTTAGACAGGAAATTATATAATTTTAATGGTATTATAAAAGGGTAATATCAAAATATATTAGAGAATTATATAAGAAATTAGAAGCATCTTGCCGCGACCCCTCGCCAGCAAGGAGGACACGACACAGGATTCTTCTTTCAGCAGTTTATTCAGGCCTTTAATTATGTGTCTCTGGAAGCTTCTCCTACTACTACTACTACTACTACTACTACTACCCCCTCACCCGCGCGCCCCAGCCTTGATAAAGCACATCAAGCCCCAATGCACAACTGCCACATGGACCTTTCTCATAGGGTGTTTTACAGCTACGTGCCATCTCTCCCAAAATAAGGAGTTGTTTATCACAGGCCACGGCGCTTATCAGCGCCATCTTGTAATGGCGACCACGGTCCGCTGACACGGCTCACCACACATCTTACTAAATTCATTATCTGATCACAGTTATAAGTACATATATAATTCACAAAAAGGTTGTTAAAGATTGTGGTTATTCATAAATGACCAATTCTAGGAGTTTAATGAAGGAACTTCTTGCAGAAAGTTTATAGAACGCTATTTCTGAGCTTGAACACAGTTTGTACTATACTGTTATGCCATTTATGAGAAAACACAGGACATCCAGGCAATGAATGAGTACTAGCACCATTTATAAAGACTCTATGTGGCAGTTTGAATACATGCTCTTACCTCCTTCCCACCATAAACACCACACAGTGACTGAGAAGACAATTTGCAAAAACAGTACACCAGAATTAGGAAGGAGAAAAAGAAAACAGTGCCAATACCTAATCAGAAACTTTGAGGAGTGCTGAAAGATAGCACATAATCAGGATCAAAACTTAAGGGGAAAACACCAACATTAGGAGAAGACTATTAAGAGACAAAGCAACAGGGACCTGTGACTACACCAGTGAGCACAACAGCTTCCCAAGAAATACACAGGCACATATGCAAAGGAGACAGCTGAGAATGTGGTATCTGGAGAGGGGCAAAGCAGACTCCAAGGGCTAGGACAATGTTTCTCATCCCCCAATCTGTAATTGTTTGCCTCTTTCACAGAGTCAGTACAGATAAGTTACAGAAACCAGAATAGAGGTAAGTTACAGAAACTAGAATAAATCATGATAATGGTTCTTATATACAAAGATGAGTATACAACCACAAATCACAAATCATTTCAGGAAAATCAGTGTCCTGGAAAAGAAGTATAAAATGTAATGGGCAGATAACTGAAAGCCTGGATACATTTGACAGCCTAAATGTAAGAATAACTTAGAATATAAATAACCAAACCTTCAAAAAGCTTTGAGAAAACATCACAGCATTAAAAAATGAACCAATGAGGCAGTGTGGATATGAAACACTTAATCAGTAAAATAAAACACTTAATGGGCAGTGAATGGAAGAATGGAGATTACTGAAAAAGTAGTAAGTAAGCTAAATGGTTGAACAGATTTCTCCCAGAAAACTTCAGGGAGAGACTGCATCTAAATATGAAGATTATTCAACAAGCAGAATATTTTCACAGACATCAATGGCTGCAAATGGCAGTTAAGCAATATTTTTAAAATTCAAAGACAAAATTATTGGTACCACTGATCTATACTCAAGTTAGTCTCTCAAGTAGAATATGGATACTGTGCAACATTACTGCCCACATAGTTCCTTATTATCTCAATATAAAACTTAGTTGAAGAGATGGAAGAAGTACAGGAAGGCAAGGAACAGTAGGAAAGGAAAAATAATATGTCGAGATTCTTGAATTCATCAAGGCAGACAGCAGATACTAATCAACTCCAAAGGCAAAAATTTTAGTATGTTTCTTAACTCTTAAAAGGAAATAACTAGGTTAATATAAATAAGATGTACAAATGTCAAACAAATTGAGAAAAAGGGAATAGAAGGGGAAATGAAGTGAAGAAGAGGAAAGAAGGCATGGAGTGGGAGGATATAGGAGGAAGGAATCCTAATAAAAAACATGAGAAGTAAAAAATTATCAAAAAAACAAGGAAAGTGGGCTTGGGCTATAACTCTGTGGTAGAGCACTTGCCTAGCATGTGTGAGGCACTGCGTTCAGTCCTTAGCACCACATAACAATAAATAAAATAAAGGCATTCTGTCCACCTACAACTATAAAAAAAAAAACATTTTTTAAACCCAAGTAAAGTAAGTCAAAACTAATTAATGATTATAATAAACATGCTTGAATCAGCTTCCCCTATTGAGAGAAAAAAAATAACAAAAAAAAAATAGCAATGTGCTAATGAGAAAATACAGAGCTAAAGCAAAAGATAAATCTGAAAATAGACAAGTAAGGGGGGAACATAACAAAAAAATAAGTATTTTAAAAAATAATACATTACAGTAACATTAAAACCTACTGAGGAGTTTAAAAATAATAAACTAATAAAGTTTTAGAAACATAGCTTTAAATGTATGAAACAACTATTGGTGTCAGTTGAATGCTTGGTGATAACACTGCTCAGACATCAACAAGAGCAACCAAAAAATCAATAAGTAAGGGATCTTTAGGCTTAAATATTAGAATTACCAGCTTAGTTGAATATACTGATTGATGTGTTTATATTCTTTTCAAACACATATTTAATATTAATTTTTAAATTACCATAGATTAAGTCATGAAGAATATCTCAATATTAAAAACCTTAGAAATAACCCATTCCAAAAAGTTACTTTATCTAAACATAATGCAATAAAATCAGAAATTAAGAATACTGTTAATAAAATTATACTGTATTTGAAATTCTGGCTAAATAAGTAAGTTGTATATGCTCTTGTTATATAACAGGAAAAAAAAACCCTTGTATATGCTCTTGTTATATAACAGGAAAAAAAACCCCTGGGTAACTGTGAAATAATGAATATGGCAAGTTGCTTCACTATAGTAACTATACATAATAAATTTGTTATTTATTTATTATATTATTATATTCATTATATTATTATTATTTTTAAAAAGTAATAAAAGGAAAACTAAACCATTGAAAAGAAAATCCAAACTGAAAATTCATAAATAAATATGTGACAATGAGGACATGACACATTATGATCCTTGAAACATAAAAGAAAATTTAAATACTTATGTCCATATTAGAAAAGAATAAAGTAATATGATGTAGACTTTTAACTGCAGCTAGAAAGGAGCAACAAATGACACAATAGGAAAGGATTAATAAAGACAACAGAAGATAACACTCATGAGATATGAAGCACAAATATTGTAGATATGATCAAAAATAAATAAAATAAAACCAAATACTATTTGTTTTTGAGAGCCACAGCCGAAGGGGCCCCAGCAAACTTCCAGCTGCCAGCAAATTTCTAGCTGCCAACTGATTGGCTCCTCTGCAGTGATGCTCATTGGGCTGTTTCCCCGCCCTTTCAGACCACGGAACTGCTCATTGGGGGACTTTTTTTGGCTCCGCCCACGTGACCCAGCCAATTGGCCTCAAGAGCAGGAGGAGTAGGGGAGGTTGAGAGGCTTGTGGGAAGCTGGTGGTGGCAGTTGGGCTCTGAGGGAATTCCTGAAGAGCTGTGTGGTGCAGTGTGTGTTCTAAAAATAAAGTTCGTTTCTTTTGACAAGTGGCTCCTCAATTCTGCCCAGCCAGACTGCAGCAATTTGTAAAGACTATTAAGAGATAATCTTCTGGATCTTTAAAAAGAGCACCAAATAAACATTAGAAATTTATTGTAAGACTCAGTATAAGAACAGGTCTTTTGTTGCCATTAACCTACCTGGAATTCTATGTACAGATTTATGCCAAAATACATGGGAATTTAAAATGAACACATTATTTTCTAGAAAAATATAAGTTACCCAGATTGTCTTAAGAAAAAAACAAAATCCAATAAACAAAATAAATTTAAATAATAAAAACTTGGAGATGCTGCAGTCTATAAAGGGAAACTTCACTAAAATTTAGGTAATGAATAATTACTAAGTTGTATAAGTAGGTAGCCAAAAAAAAAAAAAGTCAGATGCTACAAAATTTATTTTCTGAGACTAGCAAAACCTATTACCAAAATTCACAAATTAAC